AAAAAATTACAAAATAATTGACAGCGCATACAAGAGAAATAAAGACAAGGACTTTAAAATCTACGATGACAAAAAATGACAAAAATTTTTTTTTTTAAAACGATAAGACCGAAAAAAAAAGTCAAGATTCGAAAAATTAAATGACGTACAAACATGGCATGAAGAAAAACATGGACAAAATTTACGAGGAACAGAATAACCTACATAACTGAGATTAAAAAAAATATGACAAGATTTACGATGAAAAGAATGAGGCACAAACCTGCGACGAAAAACACGTAACAGCACTGGGCGAGCGTTTCCATGCTTCCTTTCTTGCTGCCGAAGATGTAGAGGCTGAGCATGATAAGACCAACGAGGATCAGCACTGTGCCAACCACAGCCAGAAACTGGATTATCCCAAGCCAGTCTAGGGGGGGGGGGGGATTAAGGATTGGGATTTATTCAAGTCATACATGGGGGGTGGGGGGGATACAGTGTGATAATGGTTATATTAGTTGAATGAGTTGGATATGAAGTGGAATGGATATAGGGTTTGTATGAAATTGTATGGGTGGGTATATACAGTGTAATGGATAGGGGAGGTGTAGGTATGTGTTGGTATATACAGTGTAATGGATAGGGGAGGTGTAGGTATGTGTTGGTATATACAGTGAAATGGATAGGGGAGATGTAGGTATGTGTTGGTATATACAGTGAAATGGATAGAGAAGTTGTATCTGTTGGTATATACAGTGTAATGGATAGAGAAGTTGTATCTGTTGGTATATACAGTGTAATGGATAGAGAAGTTGTATCTGTTGGTATATACAGTGTAATGGATAGAGAAGTTGTATCTGTTGGTATATACAGTGTAATGGATAGAGAAGTTGTATCTGTTGGTATATACAGTGTAATGGATAGAGAAGTTGTATCTGTTGGTATATACAGTGTAATGGATAGAGAAGTTGTATCTGTTGGTATATACAGTGTAATGGATAGAGAAGTTGTATCTGTTGGTATATACAGTGTAATGGATAGAGAAGTTGTATCTGTTGGTATATACAGTGTAATGGATAGAGAAGTTGTATCTGTTGGTATATACAGTGTAATGGATAGAGAAGTTGTATCTGTTGGTATATACAGTGTAATGGATAGAGAAGTTGTATCTGTTGGTATATACAGTGTAATGGATAGAGAAGTTGTATCTGTTGGTATATACAGTGTAATGGATAGAGAAGTTGTATCTGTTGGTATATACAGTGTAATGGATAGAGAAGTTGTATCTGTTGGTATATACAGTGTAATGGATAGGGGAGGTGTAGGTATGTGTTGGTATATACAGTGTAATGGATAGGGGAGGTGTAGGTATGTGTTGGTATATACAGTGTAATGGATAGGGGAGGTGTAGGTATGTGTTGGTATATACAGTGAAATGGATAGGGGAGGTGTAGGTATGTGTTGGTATATACATTGAAATGGATAGGGGAGGTGTAGGTATGTGTTGGTATATACAGTGTAATGGATAGGGGAGGTGTAGGTATGTGTTGGTATATACAGTGAAATGGATAGGGGAGGTGTAGGTATGTGTTGGTATATACAGTGTAATGGATAGGGGAGGTGTAGGTATGTGTTGGTATATACAGTGTAATGGATAGGGGAGGTGTAGGTATGTGTTGGTATATACAGTGAAATGGATAGGGGAGGTGTAGGTATGTGTTGGTATATACAGTGTAATGGATAGGGGAGGTGTAGGTATGTGTTGGTATATACAGTGTAATGGATAGGGGAGGTGTAAGTATGTGTTGGTATATACAGTGCAATGGATAGGGGAGGTGTAGGTATGTGTTGGTATATACAGTGTAATGGATAGGGGAGGTGTAGGTATGTGTTGGTATATACAGTGTAATGGATAGGGGAGGTGTAAGTATGTGTTGGTATATACAGTGCAATGGATAGGGGAGGTGTAGGTATGTGTTGGTATATACAGTGTAATGGATAGAGAAGTTGTATCTGTTGGTATATACAGTGTAATGGATAGAGGGGTTGTATGAAGTTGTATGTGTTGGTATATACAGTGTAATGGATAGAGAAGTTGTATCTGTTGGTATATACAGTGTAATGGATAGAGAAGTTGTATCTGTTGGTATATACAGTGTAATGGATAGAGAAGTTGTATCTGTTGGTATATACAGTGTAATGGATAGAGAAGTTGTATCTGTTGGTATATACAGTGTAATGGATAGAGGGGTTGTATGAAGTTGTATGTGTTGGTATATACAGTGTAATGGATAGAGAAGTTGTATCTGTTGGTATATACAGTGTAATGGATAGAGAAGTTGTATCTGTTGGTATATACAGTGTAATGGATAGAGGGGTTGTATGAAGTTGTATGTGTTGGTATATACAGTGTAATGGATAGAGAAGTTGTATCTGTTGGTATATACAGTGTAATGGATAGGGAAGGTGTAAGTATGTGTTGGTATATACAGTGTAATGGATAGAGAAGTTGTATCTGTTGGTATATACAGTGTAATTGATATGGGAGGTGTATGAAGTTGTATGTGTGAGGAGAATCAGAGTGAAAACACAACTAGGATGATGATTAGTGTCATAAGCTGTGCATAGAACTATGTAGATGTGGGATATCTGAAGTGATATACAGGATGTAGGGTTGGGTTCACAAGCTGTGCATAAAACTATGTGGATGTGGGATATACGAAGTGATATACAGGATGTAGGGTTGGGTTCACAAGCTGTGCATAGAACTATGTGGATGTGGGATATATGAAATGATATACAGAATGTAGGGTTGGGTTCACAAGCTGTGCATAGAACTATGTGGATGTGGGATATCTGAAGTGATATACAGGATGTAGGGTTGGGTTCACAAGCTGTGCGTGGAACTATGTGGATGTGGGATATCTGAAGTGATATACAGGATGTAGGGTTGGGTTCACAAGCTGTGCATAGAACTATGTGGATGTGGGATATACGAAGTGATATACAGGATGTAGGGTTGGGTTCACAAGCTGTGCATAGAATTATGTGGATGTGGGATATCTGAAGTGATATACAGGATGTAGGGTTGGGTTCACAAGCTGTGCGTGGAACTATATTGATGTGGGATGTATTAAGTGATAAACAGGATGTAGGGTTGGGTTCACACGCTTGTCTGGGGAGAGGGGGGAGATGAATTAATTTATAAAAAAAAACAATGTATTACTCGTTTGAGGAAAATCGAAGGTGTTGCAATGGCTTCCCACGCACATTGACCACAATCCATAGTGAAATTCAGACAAAACGTACCAGTAGCTGGCAAATACTGATGTCAAGCTGTTTGTTAAAGAATATATATATATATATATATATATATATATATATATATATATATATATATATATATATATATATATACGTATATACTAGCCGGTAAATATCTTTCTATTCAAACATCCTACACATCTCACTTTTCCAACATCCTTCATATCTTGTGATTTTTTAAAAAAGTATTCCTAAAATGAACTTATTCGAAATGTCGCCAGTACCTATTCTTTTGAAGTTTTTCTTCATTGAGTGGTCAACTCATGTTCAATTAATAATTTACACAGCATTGGGTCATCTGGAAAAGGCTCGAACTCTTTTTAACCATTCCATACACATTTTCTTGTGTGTATTAGATGTTCCAAACCCTATCGCATCGTCCCACTAGTGAAGTGTGATTAGTATTAGCTACTCTCTCCACTCCCTGCTAAGTTTGCGATATCCGTAGGCAAAAAACCCAACAAAACACGGAAGTTTTGGGGCATGCGGGAGGGGTGAGGGAGTAAAGGGGGGGGGGGGGGTTATAGATTGACGAAAACCAAAATCTATATATATAATTCTCTTCTGGGAGACGCTAGAAAACAAGCTGTAAACGCGCTCCCTACCATCCCCACCCCTACATGGTCTTAGTGAGCTGTGGTTCACGCTATGTTTACCTTCGTGGAGTCGGGTTTAGTGACGGCTTTTAGGGGCAGATAATTTAGTTTGAAACGATTTAAAACGTTGGGGGGGGGGGGGGGAGGAAGGGGGGGTATGGTCCTTAACGAGCTACTTATAGTGTTTTAAAGAAATATTTTCAGTGTCAGCGTTGGTACTGTCGAATTCACAAATTATGAATTACTGAAAAGTAGAAAACACAACAACTAAATAGCGGCGTATGATATGCCGCGGGCCGGCTCGTCTTGGATAATCGAAATCACCAAAGCAAGACCTTAAGGTTTCACTATACCTGATTTGTTTGTGTTTGCTTGTTATAGTAAGTGTGAAAAATAAAGGAAATTATCTGTAAGTGAACTCCTACGTCAGTCTGAATAGTAGGCCTAATTTATACAATAGTAAAATCTAGATATTCATCATAAAATTATCTATACCTGAAAATATATTTAAAACTGAACTAAAACAACAACTATTTAATGACCCCCTTAACTGATTCATTGATACATTTCTCATTCATCCATTAGATCTATATTCTCATTCTATCTCACTCTGTATTAGAACTAGAGGCGTAGCTAGGGGGGGGGGGCGGACCGCACCGGGTGACACCATTTAGGGGGGTGAAACCAAGGCAAAAAATAGCAAAATACATAGAGACAAACTTGAGGGGTGGGGATGCAAATCGAAAGTTTGAGGGGGGGGGGGTGCAAATCGAAAATTTGAAAGTTTGTCCCCGGGAAGGGTCGCTACGCCTCTGGGGGGGGGGGGGTGACACCGGATGACACCCGACCTCGCTACGCCACTGATTAGAACTAGACTAGATCTAGATTCTAGATTAGATGATAGAATTTATATAATTTTAATAGTATTTCTTCATTCCAAATTTTTGAATGCAATGCTACTGCTTTGTCTTTACTACTCAATGCCTTTGTTATTAAAATGTTTTTATGTTTTTTGTTTTTTAATCGGCCATTGTGAAATATGGGAGCCGGACGTTTTCCCGAAAGACACTTGCCCGAATGCCGTTTGCCCGAAGGCCGATTTCCCGAAAGGACACTTGCCCGAATGCGACAAATGCCCGAATGGACACTTGCCCGAATGCGACAAACGCCCGAATGGACACTTGCCCGAATGCGACAAATGCCCGAATGGACACTTGCCCGAATGGACACTTGCCCGAATGCGACAAATGCCCGAATGGACACTTGCCCGAATGCGACAAATGCCCGAATGGACACTTGCCCGAATGCTACAAATGCCCGAATGCCACCTGCCCGAAGGCCGTTTGCCCGAAAAATGTTAATGTTAGATAATTAAAAAAATATTACCAAAAAGAGATTCTTTATCAATTTAAGTTTGAAATTTTGATAATAAACACAATTCTAAGCGTTAAAAAAATTGTTTATAATTTTAAAATTTAGCTTTTTTTTTTCTTTTCAAAATTGAGAAATTACTGTAAAAAAACAACTCTATTCTTCAAATGTAAGGTGATGTTGGCGGCGATGTCCTAATATTCTTTTGATGTAAGTTTTGAACACCTTGTTTAGCCGACGTGTTGCGGTGGTTATAAAGCGCTTTTGATACGGTGCTGGCGGCGTGGCGTCTCGCAACGATGAACAGAGGCGCGTTTGTTTGATTTATTTTGTTATGCTTAACTCGTGGGGTGATCATCTCACAATAGAACTAGGTGCGGACTAGGCAGCGAATTTAAAAACTAAAGGTAGTCAAATACGTTTGATCTCCATTTAATACACCTTGTTTAGACAATGCGTTAAGGCGATTACTTAAAAAAGAAAGCAAAACTTATTTTAAAAACTTGTGAAAAATGAAACTGGTATTTTTTGTCTTGTTTTAAAGATGGAAGAGAAAGTATGTTTGTACACTTTTTATATAGAAAATACAAATAAATTTAAAATGTCTGCATGGTAACATATAATATTATTTTTTCCTTTATTTCAAATTTAAATTGATAACGAATGATTATTTGGTAATATATGATGTTAACATTTTTCGGGCAATCGGCCTTCGGGCAAGTGTCCATTCGGGCATTTGTCGCATTCGAGCAAGTGTCCATTCGGGCATTTGTCGCATTCGGGCAAGTGTCCATTTGGGCATTTGTCGCATTCGGGCAAGTGTCCATTCGGGCATTTGTCGCATTCGAGCAAGTGTCCATTCGAGCATTTGTCGCATTCGGGCAAGTGTCCATTCGGGCATTTGTCGCATTCGGGCAAGTGTCCATTCGGGAAATTGGCCTTCGGGCAAACGGCATTCGGGCAATTGTCTTTCGGGAATTTGTCGTAGACCCGTGAAATATAAGCCTCCATGCCTACTGTTGTGACCGTTATTGAATAAAAGAAATAAATAATAATCTTGACCTACATAGATCTAGGAAGTAGATCTCAAGGGCATGTGTGATAAGAACCTCGTTCCCAAGTCTTAAGAAAATTATTAGAAGAAATGTATGGTAACATAAACCTTACCTGAAGATGATGCCAACTATGGAAAGAATAAAACACGTTTTGACAGTGTTGGTGGCCGCCTTAAAGTCGTCTCCAGCCGGCATTTTAGTTGTTAGATCGCGGCCGAAATATGTGGAGAAATAAAACGCTGACAAATAGGCGCGGCGTCTTCTGCTCATGGACCGATGATCAGATTGGAAAGGGAATTCCCGAAAATGTGCGCATTTTGCAGCAGTGTAAAAATTGGTTTCTTTTCTGCGGGTTTTTTGTTTGGTCGTTTTAGCGTAGTATACCGTATGGGTTTTATTTCAATGGTTGTTCTAATGTAGCATAGAGGATATGATTTAATGGTCACCATCACATTTTCTTACTTACAGTCACCATTACCAACTCACCACCTACATTACCAACCAATCAACAACATAACCAACTCACAAACAACATTACTAACTCACCACCAATATTACCAGCCCACGAACACACTTTTAAACCCACCACCGACATTACCAACATTACCAACCCACCACCAACATTACCAACCCACAACCAACATTACCAGCCCACCAACAAACTTTTAAACCCACCACCGACAATACCAACATTACCAACCCATATACAACATTACTAACCCACCACCAACATTACCAACCCATATACAACATTACTAACCCACCACCAACATTACCAACTCACCACCAACATTACCAACTCATCAGCAACATTACCAACTCACCAACAACATTACCAACTCACCACCAACATTACCAACTCACCACCAAAATTACTAACCCACCACCAACATTACCAACTCACCAACAACATTACCAACTCACCACCAACATTACCAACTCACCACCAACATTACCAACTCACCACCAACATTACCAACTCACCACCACCATTACCAACTCATCAGCAACATTACCAACTCACCACCACCATTACCAACTCATGAGCAACATTACCAACTCACCACCAACATTACCAACTCACCACCAACATTACCAACCCACAACCAACATTACCAACTCACCACCAACATTACCAACTCACCACCAACATTACCAACCCACAACCAACATTACCAACTCATAACCAACATTACCGACTCACCACCAATATTACCAACTCACCACCAACATTACCTACTCACCACCAACATTACCAACTCACCACCAACATTACCAACCCACAACCAACATTACCAACTCACCACCAACATTACCAACCCACCATCACCATTGTCTACTCTGTAAGAGTTTTGCAAATTTTGTCTGTATGTATGTGTTTATATGTGAACACGATAACTTGAGTTAGGGTGAAAAAAATTACATTATAAGTATTATATCAAATTTGTAATATTCTTTCAACGTGTAAGCAATTTCTGTTAAACGGAAGTGGAACTTGCTCCATCCATTTCCGGTTTCCGATAACTTAAGTACTTTTACAGTTAGGTGGATAAAATTTCATATTGTAGGTATTAGCTCCTGTCATTCAACTTTTGAGCGATTTCCGGTAATCGAAAGTGGTACTTTATTACCGATCTCTTAAAAACCTTGAGACCTTGATAATTTTCTGTCGTATTCTCATAAAGTATATTTTACATTTTTTTTCGTCTCTAACTGTGTTTCTCGCAAAAAGAGCGTTTTTTTTCTTCAAAATCTTCTATATTTCTGTAGCCCGATTTCATTAGAAGTGCTACCCAATTCTAATTGTTCTATAAAAATATACGAGAAAGTTAAAGGGAACTCATCCCAGATATTAGCCAGCATCGCTGAAAATTTAGAGCTGATACAATGCAATGTCAGTTTCTTTATCAGTATGAAAACAATTAGAATAAACCGGGAGTGATCTCCCCTAAACGTTCTCGGATATTCTTATATAAAACAACAAGGGATGGGAACTCGGGATATAGTTATGATTTTTAATCCATTTAAAATACATTAACTTTTTAAAATAAAATAGAATCTCATAGAAAAAAGTATTGCACACCAAGCGAACGCCGAATAAAGATGTTCATAATGGTGCGCAATATTATTAGTACTTTAAAAATTTAGATGCGTTTTTGAGAAATCGGAAATAGCGTAAATTAGTACTTCCCGTCAACGGAAATTACTCAAAATTTAACAGAAGGTAGAGAATTAGATCTTTTACTTACATGTGAAATTTTATTTATCTATCTGAAATAGTACTCAAGTTATAGGCTTTTGAAAAATTCAAAGTAGAAAAAGTACCACTTCCGGTTATCGGAAATCGCTCAAAAGTTGATACGGATCTACGATTTTGATAAAATACTTATATATATGAAATTTCATCAACCTAGCTGTAACGGTACTCAAGTTATCGTGTTTACACACACACACACACACAGACACACACACAGACACACAGACATACGGACAAGATTGCAAAATTATGTTTTTCCGTATCAGTGAGGTGTAAAACGTCGAGATTTGTAAAAATCTCGATTTTTTTTGTGTGCACGATTACAATACTTTCTCTATACTACGTATATACGAGAAAGTAAAAAAAGTCTTTCTACTGGACAGCAGGAGGCGAGATGATCATAAGGCTCTACATCACTACATCACTACATCTCCACATCACTACATCACTACATCACTACATCACTACATCACTACATCACTACATCACTACATCACTACATCTCCACATCACTACATCACTACATCACTACATCTCTACATCACTACATCACTACAGCTCTACATCACTACATCACTACATCACTACATCACTACATCACTACATCACTACATCACTACATCACTACATCACTACAGTTCTACATCACTACATCACTACATCACTACAGTTCTACATCACTACATCACTACATCACTACATCACTACATCACTACAGTTCTACATCACTACATCACTACAGTTCTACATCACTACAGTTCTACATCACTACATCACTACATCACTACATCACTACATCACTACATCACTACATCACTACATCACTACATCACTACATCACTACATCACTACATCACTACATCACTACATCACTACATCACTACAGTTCTACATCACTACATCACTACATCACTACAGTTCTACATCACTACAGTTCTACATCACTACATCACTACATCACTACAGTTCTACATCACTACAGTTCTACATCACTACATCACTACATCACTACATCACTACATCACTACATCACTACATCACTACATCACTACATCACTACATCACTACATCACTACATCACTACAGTTCTACATCACTACATCACTACATCACTACATCACTACATCACTACATCACTACATCACTACATCACTACATCAATACATCTCTACATCACTACATCACTACATCACTACATCACTACATCACTACATCACTACATCACTACAGTTCTACATCACTACATCACTACATCACTACAGTTCTACATCACTACAGTGCTACATCACTACAGTTCTACATCACTACATCACTACATCACTACAGTTCTACATCACTACAGTTCTACATCACTACATCACTACATCACTACATCACTACATCACTACATCACTACATCACTACATCACTACATCACTACAGTTCTACATCACTACATCACTACATCACTACATCACTACATTACTACATCACTACATCACTACATCTCTACATCACTACATCACTACATCACTACATCACTACATCACTACAGTTCTACATCACTACATCACTACAGTTCTACATCACTACAGTTCTACATCACTACATCACTACATCACTACAGTTCTACATCACTACAGTTCTACATCACTACATCACTACATCACTACATCACTACAGTTCTACATCACTACATCACTACATCACTACAGTTCTACATCACTACATCACTACATCACTACATCACTACAAATAAAACAATTTCACGGTGTTTAAACCTCCCCCCCCCCCAAAATCCTTCACTCCCATCGCTAAAAGTTTTTACTTTGAATGTTTTTAATCTTTTGAAATACAAGATGACTGCTGTCATACAGAACATCATTCAATTTGAAGTCATTTATTAATGACTCTGTATTTCTGTAGTGATTGTTTTTAGACTTAAACAACTTAAAAGTAGTTAACTTAACTATAGTTACTGCTTCAAGAATGATCAGTAGAAAAATCAAAAGTTTATTCAAAATCTTTATAATAAATAAGTTAACCAGTAGCTTTATTATTGAATCATTGATGAACAATGTATCGTGGACAATTAATAAGAAAACATTTTTGAGACAAATTTTCTTTTGGACGGATTCAAAATGTTGAGATTTCTATTACAATTTATATATATATATATATATATATATATATATATATATATATATATATATATATATATATATATATATATATATATATATATATATATATATATATATATATATATATATATGTAGGAAACGTTTGTTAACATAAGACTTAGAAAACAGAACAATAAATAATTGGGTAAATATTTTTAGCACGTGCAGCCATCTTTGAGCTAGAGATGTCTTTCGAAAGTCGCTTTCATGCAATCAGAACAGCCATGTAGAAGAATCTATAACAGTTTCAACAATTCACACATCACTTCCAGCAGTAAGTCGAGAGAAACATCGTGTTATACAGTACATATACAGCCCAGTAAATCCCACTTGTCCGGAGCTTAACCAGGCTGTCTGGACTACCCCGTGGCTCACTTGGAGCTGACCGAGCCTCCCTTTTTGCTGGCCACAACTACCAGGATGCCAGACACGAGTGCCAGGATGAGGGCACAGATCGCCAATGCAAAGGAAAATCCAAAGTCGAAGTTGTTATCGCCGTACAGATCGTCAACTTTAGCGCCGTAGATGATGACAGCAAGGATCCAGGTGACGGCTGCAGATGGAGGACATTTAAGCGTGTTCATTAGCTTCATTTAAATTATATCTTTTACAAAAAGAAAATGTCGTTGATATTCTATCTTCACGCACCTACCAACTTTCTTACAATATCATAGTTATAAAACGGTAATCCTAACTCTAATCCGATTTGAAATATCATCTCGTGTTTTTCTCACTCGTGCCCAAAATACACGGCGCAGTTCAATTGTAGATATCTAATCATACAAGGGGATACTGCGGTCAGCATTATGCCCAGCCGCGTCGGTAACTCTAAAGTGAGTCGGGTACCCATCAGAGCTGGAGTTCGGATGTGAGATAAGTGTTTATGTTATGCACAGAAAACAAAGGATTTCAGGGACCTGAATATATATCTCCTATCATAGCTCGTCTGAAAGTTCAGCATGCTAAAACAAAACGCGCAGAGAATTAGTTTTCACTGAACCACGTCAAAGAAATCCAAAAATCGACATTAACCAAAGTTGACTAAAACCAAGGTATCATGAGAATGGCCTTACCTGAAGCAATGAGACAAATGCCAGACGCCAGCATAGCCTCAGACTTCCCCTTACAGCTGCCGTAGAACATGAAGAGAATCAGCAGCAGACAGCCGACATTGAGCAGAACAAACCCAAAGACGGCAAACGCCTGAGTGGCTGCAAACCAGTCTGGGGAGGGAGAGTGGTAAATACATTAGTGGGCTGGATGAATTAATGTGGGGAGAGTGGTAAATACATTAGTGGGCTGGACGAATAATCTAGGTAAGACTTGGGTGAAAACTACGTTAAGGTAGACTTACCTGATGCTGCTCCATCCAGCATTTTACAGCCGTCGCTTGTGGTAAATAATTCACTTCGAACACACGATCTCCACAAACCGAAGTGGGTGTACTTATTATTGCCATTTAACACTACATTATACACTATGTACCACGATGATGTACAGAACGAAATCCAGCTATTAAAAAACAAATTAGAAACAACTTTAGATTTACTAACAATAACATATGTAGTCAACATGAATTTATAGAATATACACATTTTTGACGTTTGGTTTAATAATTTATTTATTTATTGTCCATATAAGTTTCGCCTTAGAAAGAAGGAATATGCGACAAATGCGACACACACACAAGGGACGTGTTATATCCACCCGCGCGCTCTGCTAGTATATTCATTATTTACACAAACGTCATACACACACACAAACACAAACACATACACACACACACACGCACACACACATATATATATATATATATATATATATATATATATATATATATATATATATATATATATATTTTTTTTTTTTTTTTTTTTTTTTTTTTTAATATGTACATACATACATAGACCATACATAGACTCAGACGTAGACACAGACATAGACTTCGTAACTTGTCAGTATTTGTATAAAGAGGACACTTGCTTGCTTTTACAAAAATATTACTAGTAAAGAAAATTAAACCACCGATGTACTTGTAATTATTATAATCGCAATGGGTTTTCCCCCTACATTTTTTTTATTGAGCTCACAGACTGAAATGCTTAGGCCAATTAGTATTAATATAAACCACGAACTTTACGAAATATTGACACTTTAGGAGCACTTCGCATTTTCCTGAGAAATATAATCAATTTTTTATTTGTATTAAATGACGTTTCACATTTTTCGATATTTTGTTTCGAAATAATTTAATTTTAATCAGCACCCATGGGTGATGTATGATATCGTTTTTAAAACATAAACATCTAAATGATCAGAGTATGTTGTGGAATCTGGAAAAAGTAAAAGTACGTGACTATAAGTTAAACCAATGAAAGTAAATATAAACCAGAGGGCCTTACTTGCAGAGCTGAGCGACCAGGACTATGATGAACGCGATCTTGATGAGGATGTGGGCACCCATAAAACCGTCCTTGACTCCCATTTTATCCTGATCTCTGGGTCAGCTCGGCTGTAATGAAAACAAACAATACATGCATCATGTTGAGACTGTGTTAAGTAATCGTGGGTATCATGGGTATCATGGTATTTTTGTTTTAGGAACAACCCGAATCTTATTTATTGGGCAGATGAGGCTTGATAGCTGAGAACAGTAAACCATCTAAGAAAGATCTCTCCAAAATGAAACAATTGCTTCGTTGTAGTTTCTTCTCTGGCGAACAAAGGCTATGAAGTATTTCCAGAAGAAAAAAATTTAGGCTGAAATAGTAGTCAAGACTGCTGACTGTTAAATTAATGAAGGTAATTACAACGTTAGAGTTAGGCTTTATACTTTAACTATCGCTGTTTCCAACTTTATAAGCAAAAGGGGCGCGTGGTCGGATGGTAGAGCTTACGACTGATAACCCGAAAGTCTCGAGTGCGCTTGACGTCTTTGAAAAGGATGATCTGTGTCTTGAGCACGAACGGGAAAAGATGATGATTTCAAGTGCAGGGCAATAGAAGTAGAGACAAAACAGAAATGTATCATTGTGAACAGATTCAAGCTGATAGCGATATTTAGTACTGCAACATGGCCATTTACTGTGTGACTATGATTTTTTTTTTTTTTTTTTTTTTTTTTTTTTTTTTTTTTACGTTCGACGACATGACTGTAGCAGTGATGATAGCAAGTGGATAAAATCTTCGCAAAAAGGTAAAGCCGGGGCAAAAACACTTTGATACGTTGATGTTGATGCTGAGATCGTTTCAGTAGTACATCAGGCCACTTCTTGGGGCTATTACAAGGTTTTTGGTGTAGGGGAATAGTAGGAGTCAAATACGTGTCAAACAGTGCTGTCATTATTCACTAAGCCACACGGTAACACTGTGCTTGTGTCTTCTTAATTTGTAATGTTGGACTGGATTTCCTCCAATATAATCATTACATGGTATGCGCCATCTGACTCATTGACGTTGTAAGTTACCAACATTAATCAAATAGTCTTGACTCCGATTTCAGCCTACTTTTCTTTCTGGGTTAGCTTCTATAGCTTTTGTCCATCCAAGAACAAACTACAAGGCAGCAATTTGGTTTTCGAGTTGTCTCTCCTAGGGGGTCATCCATAAATGACGTCACGCTTTTTTGACGATTTTTACCCCCCCCCCCCTCCGTCACACGTCGTCCAAAAAGCCAGACCCCCCTAAAATGACGTCACACCTCAGCCTACAACACCCCCCCCCCCTTAAAATTGGTGTTGAATTTTTCTTAAAACATCGATATTTTTCCAAAATCTTATCAGAACTCCGTCAACATTGAGTATTTTGATCAATTCCTATTACAATTTATTAAAACCGTTTTCTAAAACGCGAAATAACGGCTGAATCTCGTTTTCTAACATTGCTTTTTTTTATAATGCAAAAAAAGTGACGTCATACCATCTAACCCCCCCCCCCCCCCCCCTTCCCATCATCACACACCGTTACAAAATTACGGACCCCCCTCCCCCCTACGAGTGTGACGTCATTTATGGACGACCCCTAGTTGGGTTACTGTCCAAAGCTATCGAGCCTCGTCGGCCCGGGTGTACGTGCTCGGGACTGATCGGTTTAGCAGCCATGAGCTTTACCGACCCGATCACTTCGGCCCCACTGTCAGAAGTGTTTAGCATTATTCCCGAACACATGAAAACGTCATGTGCTTACGATATTATATCTCCCCCATACATAACCAATGAATATTCTGTAATTATCAAATCGGCCTTGAACTTAAAATGTATCCAGTGAACGATAAATCAGCCAGTCTTATCTGGCAACAACGATTACATTGAAGATTGATGGCTGTTTGGTCGCGCCGACAGCGTCACAGAGTTTGTAAAAAGAGAAATAATCCTTCGAAACAAAATGTATAGAAAAATACCCTGGTAAAAGCAAGACACCAAAAACTTAAGTATTGAATATTATTATTTTCTATTTCACGGCAGAGTAACCATTCTTTAAATTTGACCTCTTGCTAGTATATATTTTTTCTTCATCTAAACTTGCTAAAAGGATAAAGTAATAAACCGGTAGTGATCTCCCCTAAACTTTCTCGAATATTTTTATATAAAATAACAGGGGATGGGAACTCGGGCTATAGACATGATTTTTAGTCCATTTTAAATACTTAAAGTTTTAAAAATAGAATAAAATCTCGTAGACAAATTAATTGCACACCAAGTGAACGCGAAATAAAAAAGCGCATAATAGTGCGCAATATTATTAGTACTTTTAAAATTTACATTAGTTTTTTGAGAAATCGGAAGTAGCGTAAATTACTACTTCCTGTCAACGGAAATTACTCAAAATTTAACAGAAGGTAGAGAATTAGATCTTTTACTTACATGTGAAATTTCATTTATCTATCTGAAATAGTACTCAAGTTATAGGCTTTTAAAAAATTCAAAGTAGGAAAAGTACCACTTCCGGTTATCGGAAATCGCTCAAAAGTTGATACGGATCTACGATTTTGATAAAATACTTATATATGAAATTTCATCAACCTAGCTGTAACGGTACTCAAGTTATCGTGTTTACACACGGACAGACACACACACGGACAGACACACACACACACACAGACATACGGACAAGATTACAAAATTATGTTTTTCCGTATCAGTGAGGTGTAAAACGTCGAGATTTGTAAAAATCTCGATTTTTTTTTTGCACGATTACAATACTTTCTCTATACTACGTATATACGAGAAAGTAAAAAAGAGTTGAACATTTACTATTGCCTAAATGCATGTCACTCAATGCATTGAAAAAAAAAATAAAGTTCAATTTGCATGCTTCTGAAAATTAATTTAGACAATAGAATAATTGTTTTTTAGTTGTTGATGTAAGATACGTTAAGTAACCCGTATGTATTGCACAGACCTCAAACAATAGAAATAATTAATTAATTATACTAAAAAGTAGGAAAGGTAAAAAAGCGAAAAATGTCACAAATCAAATTTAATTTATGTTCACGATTACAATATTTAATCCATCCGTAGCTTACTCTGTATAAAATAAAATAAATTTAAAAAAATGGTACTAGTATTTTTTTAAAATTGTCTTTTTAATTTAAAGTATTTTTTTTAGACTTTTCGTTTCATGTTGGGAAAAAAATTACTATTTGAATATCAACGATTTAAATAATTAGCTCCTACAAAAACGAAATAACTTGTTTTTATTTTGACTCGCTAACCGGAGTCTAAGTACTCACATAGAAAATAGCAAGTGGCCACTGAGCTTGGAGAAGCGTGTCGTCTCACGGCAGACGATCGAATGCGTGTGACGTCTGGTGCAGACGATCAGAGCTGAGTTACTCAACATCGTCACTGGTTACTGTTTGTGGGCGTGGGTTCCTGACGACGGACAAAACACAACCGTTGTCTAAACTCAGAATAATGTAATCTCTGGTTGGGCGTCGGCAGGAAGGGGCATGGGCGATAGGGTTGTAGGGTTTGGGGGGGGGGGGGGTAGGCCTGTAGTAGAGACATGAAGGTAAGGGCGTGGGCATGGTAGGAGTAGGGGCATGGGTGGTAGGGTTGTGGGGGGGGGTAGAAGGCATTTGGTAGACCAGGTGTGGTAGGGATACGGGGGTGGGTGAGGTATGAGTAGGGGCATGGGGGGTAGGGTTGTGGGGGGGGGGGGGTAGAAGGCATTTGGTAGACCAGGTGTGGTAGGGATACGGGGGTGGGTGAGGTATGAGTAGGGGCATGGGGGGTAGGGTTGTGGGGGGGGGGGGGGGGTAGAAGGCATTTGGTAGACCAGGTGTGGTAGGGATACGGGGGTGGGTGAGGTATGAGTAGGGGCATGGGGGGTAGGGTTGTGGGGGGGGGGGGTAGAAGGCATTTGGTAGACCAGGGGTGGTAGGGGTACGGGGGTGGGTGAAGTAGGAGTAGGGACATAGGGTGATAGGGTTTATGGGGGGGGGGGGGTAGTAGCCCTGTGGTAGAGACGTGAAGATGTTTCGGGTATGGGGGCGTGGGTATGGTTGGAGTAAGGATGAAAGGAACGTGGGTATATTATGATCATGGGGGTGATATCGGTGTTGAGGTGAGATTGTGGGGGTTATATGGGTGTGGATTTTGTAGGTTCGTTCGGATGGCTGGGGCTTAGACGAAATAGGACGGTGCAGTATAAGGGACGTAATGCGACAGGGGCGCAAAAGTTGTAGGGCGTGCGGTGAAATTGGTGTATATGTGTGGGTGTCTGTGTGTGTGTGGGAGGGAGGGAGGGGGGGGTCTGTGACAGGGGCGCAAGAGTTGTAAGGCGTGCGAGGAAAATGACGTGTGTATTGGTGGAGGGGGGCAGGCGGGCGGAGTGATACTGATAGGGCGGGTAGCAACGAAAAAAAAATAAACAGACCGAAGTACACACAGAGCCATAGTTTTAGACCAGATACAACTAGAGCGCCGATTGTAACTTTGCCGTGATAAGGGCACCTTGACTAAGTAAACTAAACGTATACAAATATTGACCAGCAATAATTGAAGCAGGGCTAGTTTTATAAAGGAATTAGAAAACTTCTCTTCTTCTTCATTTTTAATTGTAAAATTGGACGGTCTTTCTATTAACATAATTTGGTATTACATGTCAATTTATACGCCATATAGGCTGTTGACCCCGATTTCAGCTTGCTTTTCTTTTTTTGGTTTGCTTTCATAGCGTTCTGCCATCCTAGAAAAAACTACAAGGCAGCAGTTGTTTGATTTTGGAGTTATCTCTCTTAGATGTGCAGTTCGAACTCGGGACTTTTCGGTTTAGCAACCATGAGTTTGACCGACCAGACCACACGTTGCCATAATCACTTCAATAATTTGTCTACGTTTCTTGATCCTTCCTCGATTTTCCGTGACTTTGATCAAACCCCCCATAGATCTTGGTTTTAGTGAGACGTGAGCTATTGAATAACAACAGGGGCGGCAACAAGCTCGGCTCGCTAAGTTGGTCCAAAATGTCGAAAGATTAGTCATACATTCATATCTAGCATCTGGGAAAATAAAATTTAAATTAAAAAAAAAATGATGTCTTTTTTTTGTACAAGTTTATTTTATTGATTAGCAAACTAAGCGGTTTCACAATAAATGTTTGCGCAGAACCATTTTGAAAAATACATTATTTTCTCAGGTAAAGAGCCCCACTTGAGAATGAAAATTAGTCAAGATACGTTGAGTTAACTCCCCATAAACAACTCTGTTTATATTCTAACCACCTTTTTAGAAACATTTTTGTGTCACAGGTCATGTCACATCAGTTTATATATATATATATATATATATATATATATATATATATATATATATATATATATATATATATATATATATATATATATATATATATATATATATATATATATATGTTGCGGTCAAAGCCCGAAGTGCGGCCAAAGCGCGGATTGGCCGGCTCTCTTGGCCAAAGCCCGAAGAACTTAGCACTAAGATCGTATTTTGTACATTGGCCGGCCAATGCGCGCACTGGCCAGGACGTACTGGCCAAAGTCCGAAGCGCTTAAACTTGACAGCGTATTTTGTACATTGGCCGGCCAATGCGCGCACTGACCGGGATGTCCTGGCCAATGTTCTATCTAGACTAAGTTGTGATCGCATTTTCATTATTCTGGGTGCGTTTTCGTTGAGAGTAACGTATTGTCTAGCTCTTGTTTGTATAGCATTCTATATGCAAGGCGACATGGATCAAAAGGACCGTCAGACCATGAGACAGACATAGCAGATGGCTGTCAAAAGAAAAAAATGTAAATACATGTTAGTTCCATATATGGGCTCTCGATAAAATAGTTACTGAGGAAGATCTTGAGAACATTGAACAAGAAATGGAGGTTGCCATAAATGCAACGACATCCTCAGCTAACACATCTACTGCCGTGGCGGAACGCCCAGACCAGTTGCGTGACAATAATGTGGCCAACAGATTCTGTATAGTTTGTAAAAAACATTGTAGTGCAGCTTATTCTTGTGGATCCTGTGGCAACGATGTCCATGCTATTTGTGGAATACCCAATGAAGCAAACGAAGGGTACGGAGGGAGCATTACCTGCAGATTGTGTCACAACAAACAAGACATCATGGAACACAGATCAGCAGCTCATACTAGCTTGCAAACTGAAGGTGCTAAGATGCTTAAAACATCAAATACAAAATTTAAAGATGGTGAAGTGGGTGACAATGTAAGCATCCGTTTTCCAGATGTTAACAGAGGTCACGGTGATCCCCGAAGCGTGATTGCAGTTGTCATGAGCGTCGACATCGCTTTCTACAAGCTAGGAACGGAACGTGGTGTTCTAAAACAAATATATTCTAGAAGTGAGTTTTCAATTCTTCACGAAAAACTGCTCTTAAAGTCGTCAGTTGGCACTGAGGAAAAATCTCTACGAACCATCGCATCTTCACAATCATTGACTGGGGGCCAAGGCTACATTCGCTGCAATTGCACAACTAAGTGCACAACAAATCGCTTCAAGTGTAAAAATAACACCTGCTATGTAATTCTAAATGCCATAAAAGTTCAACTTGTTGTAACAAATGATGATATTGATAGATTGAGATTACAATAAAAAAATTGAATATTTCTGTCATTTTACTTTAATTAATAATCAATAAAGACTTAATTTCATGATCCTTACGGCATTAAAAAAAAATCTGCTCATGATCTTCTAATTCGGACTTTATCCGGTCGTCCCTAGCCAGATGATCTTCTAATTAAGACTTTGGCCGGTCCACCACGGTCAGTCTGCGGATTGGCCGGCCAAATGCCGAAATCAAGCAAAGTTTCGGACTTTGACCGACCTATGGGAGGCGATATTGGCCAATGCGCGGATTGGCCGGCCAATCCTAGCATTGGCCGACTTCGGGCTTTGACCGTAACATATATATATATACATCGGAATCTTTGATTTGCACTTAATACGACTTTTTAATTCTAATTAATCGTTAATTAAACTGGCAAAAAAGCAGTTTTCTACTATACATTTTTCATTTTTTTATCTTGGTGTCACCCCCCTAAATGGTGTCACCCGGTGCGGTCCGCATCTCCCGCCCCCGCCTAGCGACGCCTCTACAACTACTTAGTTCGTTTAATATGTAAAATACGACTCAATGCTCTACATGCTGGGGAAAAATACTCTGTTAAATTAATCGTTTAGAAGAGTGATTTTCTCCAACACAAT